ATGTGTTACATAGTGCTTATTGTGTCAACCACCCCCATTTTCTCCTCTATTTTCAGATGTAAAGAATCTGACTCCCCTCACGCTGTGACCATTTACATGCTGGAGCCTCATTCTTGCCAATACATCCTTGGGGTACGTACAGAGACACCCTGAGGTCAGGACTGGTGATAGAGCACATCTCCAGGTCTATGTTTAGGGTGGCCCCTTCCTCCCAGTGACTCTTCCCAAGGTTCCTGCAGTGCTGAGTTCATGGTTTGGTCTCTCTGTTCCAGGTGGAGTCTCCAGTGATCTGTAAAATCCTGGACACAGCAGATGAATATGGGCTCCTCTCCGTGCCCAGCTGAGGACAGCAAAGCCCTCAAAGCCAAATCCTGGCATTCCCATGGGAACAGTGTCTGTGAGCTAACAAAGGCCTCACCAGCACAGCTCTCCAAGCTGAGGGACTCGTGAACCACTTTGTGTATAACTATGTGTATATAAGAGCTTATTGATAAACTTTTAATGATTAAAACCTTGTCTTGCACTTCCTGCTTGGCTCGTGTGTGACATGTTCCACCCTCGGCGGCAGCATCCTTAAGGTGTAAACTCAACTCAGAAAAGGCACAATAACAACTGAAGCTTCAAGGGAGCAGTTCAGCTGCCARCAGAAGGAAAAGGTGAAGCCAACACTTCCTGCTCAGGAGCCACACCACCACTTACGGGTTTCCTACTGTTCCTGCTTTCTCCAACAATTTCACCAATGTTGTCACTCTGTCTGCTGGGAACTATGTTCTCCTGTCCTTGTACCTTACCCCTCTTCAGCTGCTATTTCTGGGCTGCTTCCCAGGACATCCCGTGTATTTATTTATATTTAACACCATAGGGTTCATCTTCATACAATTATTTTGCTGAACATCCTTCTTGCTACCCTGTGGTGTATCTGCCTTGCAAAAGACATTTGGGAAGTTTTAATCTGCTGGCATTAGACATTCCTAGAAGTAATTTGGGAGGGATTGCTGGCAGCACGATCTGAAGTAGATTTATGTTATATTTTTTAAAGAGTTGTTTTCAAATAGATAAAAAAAGTCTGTAGTGGCCAACACCCAGCAGAGCTTTGAATGTTTGAGGCTGTAGCAACAATATCCGTTGGTCACTTCCATGTGCCCGCACATTTCCTCTTTCTGCAGCCCTTGTGCAAGGCACAGGAATTTCTGACGCCTGTGAGACGGAACCTGCCATCCATGTGGCAGATGAGTGGGCCCAAAATACCCAGAATGCTGCCCAAAATACCCCCTGGGCTGCTGGACTGTTGCAACAGGAACCTGTTTTAGTGTCTCACTGTGCAGAAAACCCAYGCAGCAGCAGCAGCATGATTTGGCATTTAAACTAATGGTTGTTGTTGCTCATATCCTGATTTCTGAGGCTCAGCAAGGTGGCGGAGGGAGCTGGAAAGGGGGAAGAGTCTTCTGCATTGATTACTTCCCCATGGAAAAGYCTTGTAGCCAGATTCTACTGTTCCCAGCTTTCCTGTGGAAAGCTAAACAAGGAAACGTAAACAAGCAAGAAGTTACCCAAGTTCTAATCCAGGAGCCTTTAGGAAGAGAAGACATTAAAACCAGTGTTCTCCAGACTTCAGATCCGTAACTTCCTTCTTTTACTCCCCTGAACAGCCACAGCTGGGCCAATTTTCTCCTGAGGTATGAGGTCCTGTGTGCCAGARGCATCGCTCCCTCAGGCCCCAGCAGCAAGCACAGAGTGAGAAATAATTATTAAAACAATTCACCTTCTGCTGCCTGTGCRAGGGGGTGGCTGCATCCCCTTGTTACAGCTCCGGATGATCCCTTGGGATGGTTTTCTTTAGAATCAAGGCTGCTCTGAGGAGAAGCTGGTGCCACCCAGCCCTGGGTGCCTCAGCATCCCTCAGGCTGTGCCAGGGAAAGGAGCACAACACACTCACCCTTCCTGCACATCCCTCCTTGCGGTGATTAGATCAGAGGGCAAGCTGAGAATAGTTACTTCGTGGAATGTCAGAATTCCCCTCCCGGGAGGGAACTCCCTGGTGGGAGGGGGAAGCACATCCCTGACTCAGCAGCCACAGCACCTGGTGCCCACCAAGAGCAGCTTTTGCCATGGCRTGAGCCAACAGGCTCTTGCCAAACCCGTGCTCCTCAGCCTCCACTTCCCCTTGCACAGGAAGCTCCACGCTCACAGCTATTCCTGCCCTGCATCGGGGCTGCCCCAGCACCCACATCCACCTCCAGAAGGAATAGGCTTTGCTTCCCCTCCTCTCCCAGCTCTTCCTGACCAGCAGCTGACAAAGGGGTGCTCCTACACCTTTAGCAGGTGGAGCTGTCTCAAGTGCATTTCCAGGCCATAAATGTCACACGTTTTTCTCTAGCACTACATCCAAGCCTACCTTAATAAGAGAAACTGCTGGTCAGCTGGTGCTGATCCTCTCTGGATTTGGGCAGCTCCTGTGCAGGTTAAGCTCTCCTTTAAATTACATTTCCAGTGCACAAAAAACGTCCCCTGCAAAGAGAGACTGAAGTGGCACATGACCGGTTTTGGGAATTAGATCACTGGTCCTGCTCTCTGCCACATGGTGTGGACTTCCTTTGCTCACTAAAACCTTTCTTGGTTCTTCCTTTTTCCTCAAATTCCCAAATAAGGGGCTGGTTAAAAAAAATTACACAGAGAAGGTGTTGGATAAAACAAATGCCAGAATAATTCCAGCACAGTGTGGTGGTGGAATAACTGTGCTTGTACAAAAAAAACTGCCCTTTTAACTTTGTCCCTTCCAACCATGATTGACTCTCCCTGGGATTCCTGCCCCCTGTGCTAGGATGTAGCTGTCCCATATTCCCAAAGGGAAGCACAGCCTGAGGACCATGAGCAGCCGCATTGTATTTAGATGGAGAATTGTCCAACCACAGGCCCCACATTGACAGCAGGAGCAAACATTTCCCCTGACATATTCCACTTTACCAATTTCCTGTCCCTCTTATCAAAGCAGGTTGGAATCTGTCCGGAGAACAGATGACTGCAGGGCAATTCCCAGAACCTGCTGCGGCAGGAAAGTGYCTGGTCAGACCAGACAGACAACATAAACCACCTTGGGTTTTCCAGCCCCCAGGGCTGGACAGAGGGGCCTCTGGGCTGCTGTGTGAGTTTCCAGTCACTGGTGTTTGCGAAAGAGTAGAAAAAAACATTGGAAGTGATATAAAGGCAAGCTCTGATCCCAGTGAAAGCTCCAGGTAATAACTTACAGTAAGGTTCTTACCCAGTGTCCCTGTGGGGCAGGGATGGGTTCGTCCCATTAACTGATACCAGAATGTATGATGGCCTCTCCTCCAACCTCCCTCCCCACTTGGAGCTGTTTTTACATTATTTTCTTCGAGGGAGGGGCAAAGGTGAATTACAGTTAATGTCATTTCATGGTTATGAGGAGTTTGAGTGACTTTGGTCGCATYAGCATGGGATAATAGCACAAGCAACCTGATTTTTTGATTAATGAAGCCAAGTTCAGCTTTGTTTGGATCATTCCTTGGCTCTGTTCCTGAGCTGTGCTGTTTTTGATGGAGCTTGACCACAGCAGCACCGTGTTGCTCCATCCTTTGCTCCATGTCCCCCTGAGGGCAGCACTCCGAGCTCCCTGGGCATTCCAGGCTCCCAAGGTGTGCAGTCTGTCCCTGCTGAACTCTGGCCAACCCACGCACTCCTTGCTGAATAGGGGTTTTCAGTTTTCCYCCCCACGTGTGATGCTGAGGCAGGAGCAAACCCTCGGGACAACACTGTGATGCACTAAACGAGCTACTTCCACCTTTCTATTTCCCCCTAGAAAGTGGGTTGGGCAACGAGCAGCGCGATGGGGAAAACTTGACAGATTTCATCGGGGAGGATCATCTCCGGCACCACCTCCTCCTCCTCCCGGGCACAGGGCAGGGGGCGAGGCTGGGCAGTCCCGGGGATGCCCCAACCCGGCTCGATCTGCTCCCAGCTCCACAAAAGGCACCGGAGGCAGCAGAAGGCGAGGGAGGAGAGCCCAGGAGAGCCCAGGAGAGCCCAGGAGAGCAGGTACAGGGGCTCAGAGGATGGGAGGGTGGCTGGGAGCAGGAGCGAGCTGTGCGATAAACCCGCGATGCTTTTCACACCCTGGGGGTTCGTGGCTTGCCCGCCTCTGTGCTGGCTGTTCCTGAGGGATGTGGGGTGGGSTGGGGTCCTGCTGGCAGTGGGGGACAGAGCTGGGAAGTCACTGACATCCCTTCTCTTCAGCTGAAGCTGGTGGCCCAAGCCCGGTGGGCAGCAAAGGGGACCGTGGTGACACAGGTCACTCMCCTGGAGCTGTGCACCTGCCTTTGCAGGGAATAAAGACACGGCTTGGAGCAGCGGGGTCAGGGACTCGTGACAGGGACCTGGGCAGGACTGGAGCCGGGCAGGGACAYTCCCGACACTGGGAATGCGGGCAGGGAGCTCTCCTGGCTGCCTCAGACAAGCCTTCCATATCCCACTTCCAAACAGACTGACGGGTAAGGCCAAACAAATGGCCACTGTGAACCCTTGGCAGGTGGGATCGGGGAAGATCCATGGTCACACAGTCACCTGGGGCTCCCTGGCACATCACTGAAGTGGCTGAACAGGTTTTGGAGGGGTCAGACTTACCTGGTTGTCGTGCACATATGGGAGCCATAAAACCTGAGTCCCACGGAGCCATGAAGGGCAGTTCAGATTGTGCAGAGGGAAGATGGTATTGCAGAGGCTGCCTGGGAAAGAAAAGAAAGAAAAAATAATTCAGACTTTATCGACYATGACTTCAAATGAATAGTGCTTTCTTTCAAATCATGCTTGATGGTCTCTCTGTCTCTCTTACTCCGAAGTAAGATGTGTTTTATTTTGGTATATAAAAAGGGATTCATGGATACAATTAATGAAACAATTTCTGGAGTTGTGAGTAAATGAGGATCATTTTTTAGGGGTAATCTTTAAAATATTATAATGATGGACTGACATTTCTTTCCTCCAGGATGAGGATCCTTCCTGGCTACCTTCATTTCTGCTTCATTCCTTTCTTACTCAGCGGAGCACAGGGATTCCTAGCACCTCCAGCCTTCCTGGTTTATAACTACTCCTATTCAAACCTCTCCTCTGTCTCAGAAGCACAAGCTCCAAAAACAGCAAGAACTCTCAATTTCTCACATAATGTTATTGAGAAAATTACCCAGAGAGACTTGGAAGGATTTGACAGGCTGGAAGTTCTGGACCTTTCCTATAATCGGATCAGGGATGTTGAGCCTGGAGCGTTTCAGAGTCTGCTCAACCTGATTTCTGTGGATTTGTCATTTAATGATGAGAAGCTGCTTCTGTCAGATCTCCCACCCCACCTGAAGCTCTCACCTGCTGGCAAAGCTCCGGGGTCTTTGCAGCTTTCCAAGAATTCTGACAAAACCTCAGGGGCTGCTCCGGAACCTTCTGCTYCCACCGAGGAGCTGCCACATTCCAGAGTTCTGTCTCTCCGGCAAATCCTTAACCCCAGGCTCAGGAGAGGCACAGAGAATCTTCTTCGGAAGGGAGAGAGGAACACAACRGCCCCTCCCACAGCCACACCCGAGCCCAGCCTCTGCGGAATTCCCACCAACGGGATACTCGACCTGTCCCACAGCAACCTCACCGCGGAAGAGCTGATGTTAAAACTGGATGAGAATCTCTGCCGAGCTCAGCTGGGCAGGATTTTGGAGCTTGACATCAGTCACAACAACGTGGAAATGGATCTTCTGTCACTGTTTTCCCTGTTCTACCCAATGGAAAACACGCTGTCTATMGATGCCAGCTCCAACAAGATAACCATTAACATCCTGGATCCCAAGTCCTTCTGTAACTTCCCATCCCATCAGCTTTTGTTCCTAAACATGAGCAACAACCCCATCAACAACCTGGATACGCTGTGCCTCCCTTCCAGCATCAGGGAAATTGATTTGTCCTTCACCAACATCAGCCAAATACCCCTAACTTTCGCTCAAAAACTGTTTAACTTGGAAAAAATGCATGTTCAAGGAAACCACTTCATCTACACAGCATTTTCAGACAGTGGGAATGCACTTCCAACGTGTCTCCCTCCCCCTGGAACTGTACACATCAACGCCATCTCCTTTGTCAGGAAAGAGGTTGGGACACCCATTGAAAGCCTTCCTGGGARAGTGAAACACCTGGGAATGTCCAACTGCTCCATTGTGGAGCTGCCGGAGTGGTTTGCTGACACAGYGGAAGAACTGTTATTTCTGGACCTYAGCAGCAACCACATTTCTGCACTTCCCAATTTCCCCTCCTCCCTGCGGCATCTCGACATCAGCAACAATGGCATCAGAGTCATCCCCCCCACTCTGAAATCCCTCTCCACCTTAACAACATTTAAGATTCAGAGTAACAAAATTACAGATATGCATGCTGAGTATTTCCCAWCAGCCTTAAAAGAATGTGATTTTAGTAAAAACAAGGTGAAGGTGTTGTCCTTAACTGATGCCCTGGAGAAGCTGGAAYACCTCAATGTTTCTGGGAACCTGATCAAGCAGCTGGAGCTCACCGGCCGCCTTCCTGCCCTGACCAGCCTGGACAGCAGCCACAACCTGATCCCAGAGCTGCCTGATGCCTTTGGRAAATCCCTCCCAGGGCTCAAGTATTTTAACTTATCGGGGAATAAGATCTCCTTTCTGCAGCGTGACTCTCTCCCACCTTCTCTGGTCGAGCTGGACATCAGCGACAACGCCATCACGACCATTGTGGAGGAGACCTTCGGCCCTCTGACGAGCCTCAGGGTCCTGACTGTCCAAGGGGAGCATTTTTTCTGTACCTGCGACCTGTACTGGTTCGTGAACGTCTACATCCACGAGCCCCAGCTGGAGATCAGGGGCAGGGAGGCTGTGAGGTGCAGCTTCCCCCCGGAGCGCCGGGGCTCCCTGGTGAGCAGCAGCCGGCTGACGCTGCTGCGCTGCTCGCTGGGTGTCCAGCTGGCCGTGACCGCTGGTGCCGCTGGCCTGGCCGTGCTGGCCCTGACAGCGCTCTGCTGGCGCCTGGACGGGCCCTGGTACATCAGGATGGGCTGGTACTGGTGCATGGCCAAGAGGAAGCAGTACGACAAGAGGCCRGAGAACAAGCTCTTCGACGCCTTCATCTCGTACAGCGAGCACGATGCTGACTGGACCAAAGAGATGCTGCTGGAAAAGCTGGAAAACGASGGCTTCAAGATATGTTACCACGAGAGGGATTTCAAACCAGGGCACCCCGTGCTTGGCAACATTTTTTACTGCATAGAGAACAGCCATAAGGTGCTTTTTGTTCTCTCRCCCAGCTTCGTGAACAGCTGCTGGTGCCAGTATGAGCTGTATTTTGCCGAGCACCGGGTCCTGAATGAAAACCTGGATTCCCTGATCATGATCGTGCTGGAAGACCTCCCGCCCCACAGCATCCCACAGAAGTTCAGCAAACTCAGGAAACTGCTGAGAAGGAAAACCTACTTGAAGTGGAGCCCTGAGGAACACAAGCAGAAGATGTTCTGGCATCAGCTAAAAGCTGTCCTAAAAACCACCAACGAGCCGCTGGTGAGAGCAGAGAATGGATCTGCTCTGGAAATGCAGGAGCTGGAATGAGACCCAGGGAACTGTGAGGGCTGTGACTGGGAAGCCTGTGGTCCAATAAAAGCATTTACTYCCTTCAATGGCTGCTGAGATGGCAAGGGGTTTGTCTGGATCAGCCCCAGGAGAGACTCCCAGTGGGACTGCAGCACGCCCATTATCCCCACTGATAAAGGATCCTGAAGGGATGAGGCCAGAGTGCTGATAAAAGCCTTGGATGCTTGAATTTCTCCAGCTATTTCCAGCATTTCTCTAAGTGCTGTGGATGTCACCTGAAAGCAAGAACAGCTCGGGTCACACTGCATGTCCTTGCTGCCTTCTCGAGGTGGTGGCAGTGAGCAGTGTCTTAGGACTGGAGCAAAGTTTCCTGGTTCTGGGACAGCGTAAGGCAGGAACACTCTGTGGAGGTAAGAGAGCCACAAACCACACCGCCACACAGGGAGCAGCTCCTTGCCTGATCTGGCAAGAAATGATTGAAGATTTACTTAATTTAGCCCTCTRGGAGAGGCCAAACCCACACTGCTACAGACTTTGGGTTCAGTGACTGCTGGAAGAGATGAGACTTGAAAATGTTTTTTAAGTACAAAATAAAATATACAACCAGACAATACAAAAAGAACCAGCTGAGTGTATTGGTTTCTGCTGTTAAATAACTGTGGTGAGCTTTGTTTAATCGCACATCCCTGAGGAATAAGCAGGTTCTGTACATTATTGTTTAGATTTAGGAAAGTTCCACTTGACACAGCCACCTTGACCCATTTCTAATGGGTTCAGTGCATGGCCCTTCTCCTCACCTTGCCTTCACCACTTGATAATTTTATTTATTGTGCTTGGGAAAAAACAAAAGAACTTCAGCTGATCTAACTTTCACGTTCAAGGGAAACCAACAGACTGTGACAGAAAATAAACACCACAAGAGGACAAATCATTTGGTTTAGCATGACCTGGACTTGCTCCTATGATGAGCAAACCCAAACAACTTCCCAGCAGAAGATCCCAGATGCAGGAATGCAGAAGTGCAACATGTTTGGAACACAGACTCTTGAAAGTGAATTAGCAATGACAAATTGACATGACTGTGACAAAATAAAACCAATACCAACATATTTGCTGCCAAAAGGTGAACATGAAACAAACGTCTTCATTTACAGAGATCTCTTAGAATTTGGTGCAAACCCACCTATTCTCAGCAAAATGTTTTGGCATGAACAGCTTTGAGGTTTTAAATATTGAGGATAATAACCACAGCCCTGCAGGCCAGCAGCTGAAAAAGCCAACTCTTATCACCACAGAGATCTAGGGCTTAAAAAGACTGTTATTTATAAAAATATTTCCCACATTTTTTGTTCATTTAAGCTACCAGAAGTCACTTGTTAATGAGATTAATGAGTCCCAAGTAATTAATCAGCTGTTTTTCTAGTAACCTTTATGCTTTCCTCTTTCTAAACCACTCAGTGATCATATTTCTCACTTCCTCTCTTCCCACGAATTTTCTACCTCCACATTCCGCTACTTCCCTCTCAATTCCATCGCTGCTTTTTAAAATTGCAGTGACTCTTTACTGGTTCTTTACTGGTTCTGTGCTCAGCAGGTTTCTGAAAGAAGGGGCTAAGGGGAAAAAAAATTAGAAATTATACTACAGAAGAGTCTAAACCAAATATTYTATCAAAAATTTGATTATTTCAGTTCATGATTGACTGCAAAGTTGTACTTGTTTTCAAAATCCAATCTCGATTTACTTATCAATATATTCTATGGATACTGATTTATTTACTTTACAGCTATCGATTACATCCATAAACCTCTCAAAAAACAGTTATTTAGTACAGCTGGCAACTTAAATGAGGCTTTGTTCCTTCTGCAGATTCAAAGGTGTTGCACTTTCCYATCTGGCACCATGACAGTGTACAGATGAACAATACAGTGTTAAGACACAGGTGGTATTAAGAGCACACCTGGCACCAGGAGTTAACAAAGAGCAAATTATAAAGAACTCTGATGGGACTTCAGTTTTTTTGTCTTAATAACACATCACAAAAGGCAATAAACCCTCCTGCTTGGACCCTTCTTGCCTAGCCCCCACGTGACTATTCAAATGATTTATGAGGTGTGAGTAGTTTAATTTTGAAATGTGTGATGAAGTTCATGTGATCTAAAGGCACAGGAGAATTGCACATACACACAGCAAACCCCCAAACTGCTTCATTTTTCCCTCCCGTACAATTTGTACTCAAGAGAAATTCAAATACAGAACAGCCAAACAAGACTATTGAGTTATCTTTCATACTCAGTTAAGAAAGAACCACACTATTCATTTAGAGAAAAAAAAAAACATCTGGGCAGAGAGAAAATACTTAAGGAAATAATTTCAACTTACATTTGTGTTAGAAAGTTGTTCACACTGGTTTTATTGCAAGAAAGCTGGTTTGAATTATTCAAAATTAATTCATGTTCAGTGTTAAACAAAGAACAGTATTCCAGAAGAATCTTGAAAACAGTTTAGTCAACAAAAAGCCTGAACCAAAAACTCACACAGAGCAATGTGGACATTTTGTGTTTCTAAAGTAACAAATCACCWTCCCATCACTGTCATTTTCCTAAAGATGTGGCATTTTCCTATAGCAAGGCATCAAAAGTCTGTAGCACAATTATTYTGGAGACACTGAGGCTCTGCTGAAGTCCACAGAAGCTGAAAGGTGATTGCTTGTTTGGAAGAGATCAGGACACTCAGAGCAAGAACTGTCAGGAATTTAAATGCCCCTGAATTGTTCTGTCTCCCATGGAATTCCCACAAGTGACAACACAAATGGGTGGTTTTATAAACACAAATATTTCACTTATTTCCTTGCTGTGTGGATCAACAGACAAAATTCCTAAGCAGACAGATGAAATCAAAACTGATGTTAGACTTCTTAACAAAACCTCAAAAACTTGTCATTCTGGTTTTAATAATGTTAACAGCTGACAGTTCTGCCTGTCAGGAATAGCCAAATCCCAATTGATACAAAGTCATGGGCAAAAGAGCAAGCAGCAACACAGCTCTTTGCCTAACAGCTGACCAGCTGGGAATTCCAGAGGTGACTGTGCTCCTCCTGGTCTATCAGTCCCGTAATATTGCAAAATTCATCTTTATCCTCAAGTAATGCAAATAATTAGGTATTGCATGGCTATTTCTATCAGATATAAAATACTCGTCCAAATTACTCTGGTATACATAATGCCACCATCATTAAAATCAATGTCCAGCAGATATTAACATATATACTGCAGAGATTTATTGCAGTGCCACACTTACCAAATGTCCTTCCCCAGGGGAAATATAACACTGACTAAACAAAGCCTTATCCCACTAGAAGAAGCCAAGAGTGAAATCCYGAACTTCAGTTACTTCATGGAAATTTTGCCATTTACCTTAACAGAACCAAGGTTTCACCCGTGAAGAGAAAGAACTCTTGTTATTACAGAATAACATTGATTATTCCAACCTTCTGCAACGCAAAGAGTTTAAACTCAAATAATACCAAGCATCTCCCCAATTCTTCCTTCCTGAAAATACAAGGTATTTATAATACTCTGCCTTATCAYAGAATGSGTTGGAAGGGACCTTAAAGATGATCCAGTTCYATCCTCTGCCATGGGCAGGGGCACCTTCYCTTCCCAGGTTGCTCTGAGCCCGGTCCAACCTGGCCTTGTGACAAAACCMATCGCATAGTYACGGCATTTACTTGTTTTTACTTGCCCTCATTAATATTTAGTAACAAAACCACCCTTGTGTAACAATTCCAAACACAAATCTCAAATATCCCCCTTGTTGGCTCGCCACAGAAACTCCAAAGCCACGTCACGGAGGCGACAGCTTCAGTGCAAACGGGAACGGCGGTTTTATTCACTGGCAGCAGTATCATGGGAGTTTGGAGCAATTCCTCCCCAAGCCAGAGCAGGGTGAGGAAGGTGGGCACCCTTTGCCAAGGCTACRCGGAGGGCAGCGGGATGTACCTGCTGGGCACGGCGCCGCCGGAGCGATGGAGCGCGGGCACGGAGGGCTGTGCGAAGGCGAAGGCGGGTCCCGCGGGCTGCAGGCTGTGCGGGGTGCTCACCTCCGCCGAGGGGCTGCTGTTGTACACGCTGTAGTAGGGCTCGACACGCGTGTTCATGGGGGTCGAGCTGCTCTGCCCGTAGTGCTGCTGCCCCGCGGACACCTTGGGACTCAGCACGCTGTCCTTGGAGTGGCTGGCGCCGCACGCCTGCTCCAAGCCTTTCTTCTGAGGCTTTGGGGACAACATGTAGCCCGAGTTGGTCTCGTGGTGGGACGACTTGTTCCTGTTGACCTCCAGGCTGCCTTTGCCCACGGCTCGAAGCCTCGTCTTGTGCTTGCAGCAGAARACCAGGGCCACGTACTGCAGGCACCAGAGCACTCGCCTCCGCAGCCCCGCGCTGTTGCGGGAATACAGAAAAGGATTTAATCCCGATTTGAAAAAAATGAGGGTAAACCCACACAGCTCAAATTGGTAGAGCACAAAGCCACCGCTGCTGGACAGCATGTCCTGCACCAGGGAGATGCCCAAGGGCAGGCAGCACAGCAGSACGGAGAGCACGATGACCACGCASGTCACCACCGCCCTGGAGTCTTTGGCCGTGGCCAGGTTGACCGCTGAGGCCAGCGGGTGGTGGCCAGCCAGCYTGGCGTGGCCGTGGGGCGGCTTGGCGCAGCTCTGGCTTCTGTAYAGGGCAGGCACGGTCCCGGGCCCCACGAAGGGCTGAGCCCTGGCGGTACCCACGGCCACCGCAGGCGGGCAATTCCTCGCCCGCGCGTTCCTGCGCAGGGCCCGGGCGATCATCACGTAGGACACGGACACGACGGCCACGCAGCAGATGAAGTCGGTGACGTAGAGGTAGAGRATGAGCTTGCCCTGGCCGCTGGGCAGGCCGGCCATGGGCAGGCAGAGGCGGGAGCCGCGGGTGCGCAGCGTGGCCATGGTGGCCAGGGTGAAGCTGGCGGCCCAGAGCAGCAGCGTGAGCAGCAGCGAGCGGGGCGCGGAGGCGGCGCGGTGCGGGTGCTTGCCCAGAACCACCCGCAGCCGGTGCAGCGCGATCACCGCCACCGTCTTGAGAGACATGATGATGAAGCCCGAGCTGGTCAGGTGGAAGGTGAAGCAGAAGGTGCCCGGCACKCCGCGGGCCGGGCCGAAGAACAGGACGAAGGCGAACATGGGGGCGGCCACGCCGCAGATGAAGAGGTCGCAGAAGGAGAGGTTGAGGATCATGAAGTCGAAGTCGGTGCGGAATTTCCGGAGGGCCGGGTCGAAAAAGGAGAGCAGCACGATGAGGTTGCCGTAGGAGCCCAGGCAGAAGACGAGCGCCAGCAGGGAGGCGCAGGCGGCCAGCGTGGCGGCGTGGGTGGCCTCCCGCAGCTCCGCGGGGCCGCTGCCGTTCGCGCCCAGCTGCTCCGCGGGCCCGGCCGGCAGCCGCGCCGACCCATTCATCCCGCCCGGC